AAAAGAAGTGGGAGACAAATGAAAGGAAGTGGCCTGGGAGACAAATGAAAAAAATTGGGAGGCAAATGAAAGGGAGTGGGAGACAAGCCAGCCGGGAACCCCGACTGAAAAGAACTGGGAGACAAAGGAAGTGGGAGACAAGCCGGCTGGGAACCCGACCAGACCATCCAGCACCAAGGCGACCATTCTTTAAAGCATTGAGAACCCCTAACAGTAAACTGTTTGGGGAATGAAAAGAAGTAGGAGACAAATGAAAAGAACTGGGAGACAAATGAAAGAAGTGGGAGACAAATGAAAGCACGTGGGAGACAAGCCAGCCGCAAACCCGACCACAAGCACCCAGGGAGACAAATGAAAAGAAGTGGGAGACATATGAAAGGAAGTGGGAGACAAGCCAGCCGGAAACCCGACCACAAGCACCCAGCCTGGGAGACAAATGAAAAGAAGTGGGAGACAAATGAAAAGAAGTGGGAGACAAATGAAAAGAAGTGGGAGACATATGAAAGGAAGTGGGAGACAAGCCAGCCGGAAACCCGACCACAAGCACCCAGCCTGGGAGACAAATGATAAGAAGTGGGAGACAAATGAAAAGAAGTGGGAGACAAATGAAAGGAAGTGGGAGACAAATGGAAGGAAGTGGGAGACAAGCCAGCCGCAAACCCGCGACCACAAGCACCCAGCCTGGGAGACAATGAAAAGAACTGGGAGACAAATGAAAAGAAGTGGGAAAGGAAGTGGGAGACAAGCCGGCCGGGAACCCAACCACAAGCACCGAGCCTGGGAGACAAATGAAAGGAAATGAGACAAGTGAAAAGAAGTAGGAGACAAATGAAAGGAAGTGCGAGACAAGCCAGCCGGGAACCCGACCACAAGCACCCAGCCTGGGAGACCAAAAATGAAAAGAACTGGGAGACAAATGAAAAGAACTGGGAGACAAATGAAAGAAGTGGGAAACAAATGAAAGCACGTGGGAGACAAGCCAGCCGCAAACCCGACCACAAGACCCAGCCGGACAAATGAAAAGAAGCGCGAGACAAATGAAAGGAAGTGGGAGACAAGCCAGCCGGGAACCGGACCACAAGCACCCAGCCTGGGAGACAAATGAAAAGAAGTGGGAGACATATGACAGGAAGTGGGAAAAGAACTGGGAGACAAATGAAAAGAAGTGGGAGACAAATGAAAGGAAGTGGGAGACAAGCCAGCCGCGAACCCGACCACAAGCACCGAGCTTGGGAGACAAATGAAAAGAACTGGGAGACAAATAAAAGGAAGTGGGAGACAAGCCGGCCGGGAACCCGACCAGACCATCCAGCACCAAGGTGACCATTCTTTAAAGCATTGAGAACCCCTAACAGTAAACTGTTTGGGGAAAAACCTGACGTGTCATCTCAGTCCCGTGTCTCACGGCAAATGTATTTCAGCAAGCAAAGTGCACGTTTTGATTGAACCTCGAACAATTGTAAACTAGGAATCCATAGGTATGGAACGATGGGTATGGAACGGCGAACAGACATGCTGTTCCACAGGTATGGAACGGGGTATGGAACGAGATGTTCAAGAGTACATGTTCCATACCAAAACGTTTTGACTCATGGCCATATATCTGTGTGTGTGTCACCCTTGGAGTCATAGGGATGCTTTTGCATTTGTTTTACCGCAGGGGAACTGGGCACTCTGTGACTGACCCAGTTCAACGAAGCTAGGTCACAAAGTGGGATATTCGGACTGATCATCCGAACGTACCTGCTATTTTCCATTTTCTGCATGGCGCGAGGCTAAGCCAAGAACCTCACTACCCGGTTTTCTTCAGAGCTTCAGTTCTTTTCTGCAGATGTGCACGAGCCGCCGTCAACCTGTTCGACTCGCTCGCCGCCTTCGACCTTACGCTTTTGGCCCCACTTCCTCTTCCAGACCCCAGGATCCGATGGTCCCTACTGGTTTTCTTAGGAAATGGAACCCTAGGCCGGCGTGTGGCACCGCATTCACATCAGTACGCATATCCATGAGTGTGTTTGGCTTCGTGCCAACCCGGGATGAGCCCGCAGAGTGCCTCCCGTGGACCCGTCGAACGGGTGT